GCTTTTTTTTAAGACTAATCACTGACAATAAGAAGAGTTTAAAATAGAATTTTAGGCTTCCAGATTTTAATGGTCCTAGCAAAACTCCATTGTTAACTCAGAAGCAGCTGCATATGTCTAAAAAAATCACTTTGAGATTTGGCAGGGTTTCTTAAGAAACTTGAGGCTCAGCAAAAAGTTAAATAAATTATCCTTGAAAATTTACCAAATGCTCAGGAACTCACTTCAAAGGGAATTTTGTCCATTCAGTTAATTGTGTAACACCAGCTTTCCAATAGCACATTTATGAAATTGACATCTTAAATAATCTATGAATGCACAAAGCTGGAGCTACCTGTCACCAGTCACCAGACAGCTCAGTCAGAGGCCTGATTGCCTCTCCTCTTCTTTCAAGTGAATGCCTGGAACAGCGTGATATTCGGCCCCTGATAGCATCCTGGACCCAGGAGTTCTGAACCTGAGCTTCACATTAGAATCCCCAGGGAACTTGAATGAAAAAGAACCACCCCTGGCTCCCACCCCAAAATGAATCAAGAGTCTTAAAGGGTGGAGTATGGCATCAAGAAGTGTCCAAGCTCCCCAGGTGATCATAACGTACAGCCAGTGTTGGGCATCGCAGATGCAGGCAGTGACATTTAGCAGATCAGAGAGAAAAGATAATGTGAGCGCATCTCCAATACTTGATTTGACATCTGTTCTCTGACAGCAAACACCGCCAAACTAGAAATGGACTTCAAGAGCCAGAAAGCTGTGCTGCCCTATCTCGAAAGTGACCTAGTTAACAGATGTGTTTTCCATCAATACTTCAGAACCTGATAGTTTCTGAACAGAAAAGTACAGGGCAATGGTCCTAAGGGGGAGGCCCCACCCTGAGGCTGGTTACAGGTCTAGCAGAACCTTCAAAAATATTCTGTTTAGGAAAGTCAAATACTGCATGTTCTCACTGATAAGCAGAAGCTAAATAATGTGTAAACACGGACATAGGGTGTAGATGGAATAATAGGCGTTGGAGACACAGAAGGGTGGGAGGGTGGAAGAGGGGTGAGGGATGAGAAATTACTTACTGGGTACAATGTACACTATTTGAGTGATGGTTACACCAAAAGCCCAGACTTCACCGCTATGCAATATATCCATGTCACAGAACGGTATTTGTACCCCCTAAATTTATACCCCCAAAATTCTGTTGAGGTCAAGTTTTACTGGTGTCTGGTGAAAACAGCAACAGCACATACTACAACTATGACATCTCCTACCAGTCACAGAACATTCAATTGTCACAACAGCCCCATGGGGAGATATATCTTTATCCCCTTCTTGCAGACAAGGAAAGTGGGGCCCAGAGAGGTTGAGTAATTTGCCTAACACTAAAGTCCAAATTCCAAGTCACAAAACTCCATTACAGCCACATCCGGAGAAGGGGCATGAAGACGCCCTCCAGCCCAAGCCTTTGCCTCCCGTGAGCTCACAGACATCTGCTGTTATAAGTGACTTCCTACACCCACCTCTGCTCATCTAGGCTGAGCCTCAGCTATCAGGAAGTGTTTCTTCTCACACTGTCACTTCAATCCTCAAGGTCTTGGAGGAAACTGCTCAACTCACATCCGGGACCCAGCTGAAAAGGGCTATCAGTTGAATTAGCATCCTCAGTCATTATGGACAAAGTCAGGAGCCCAGGCCCTGCACCATCCTCCTCCCAAGAGGTAACAGAGGAGCAGGGTTGGAGTGGAAGGCATGTGGGGTGATCTCACACCCCCAGGGAGGATGCAAACACCATAACACTGGCAACACCCACACTTCTACTGCCTGCTAATCAGATGCACAGAGATAGCCCCAGACCTGGCATGTGCATGTGGTGAATCCAGGGCTCTTTATTTGGTGAGGAGGACCATGTGGGCCTCACTGAAACCCTCTCCTCGCGTGGTTTTCTGCCTGTGACAGGAAGAAAATGGCTGGCAGCCACAGGAGGCCCCAGGGAAACCTCAACAGTGCTGTCTTCTCCAGAGGGTCTGAGCCGCTGAGGTCTGTGATCAGAGAGGTTCTCTCCTCAGAGGAGGAGACCTGGGGCTCTCAAGTCAGTTAAATCCCATTATGGCCTCCACAGCCTAAGATTTCTGTCTTTATTTAAAACCCCCATCATCAAGGCTCTGGAAATCTGATGCCTTGGGAAGCACTGTGAGCCTCACTCCACAGGAAACCCCAGCACCTGGCAAAATGAGCTCCATAAAGAACAAGGGTGCATCACAGAAACATTTGCTATTCCGGATCAAACGTTAAGCTAGTTAATCATTTTGAGTCACACATCATGGTGCATAGCAGAAATAATACTGCTGATGCTCCAAAGACACAGTGCAGCTTTCTGGGCTTGGGAGCCCCAGTGAGAGTGAATTCTGAAGATCTACAAGGCTTTTAAGCGGGTTTTGTTTCTTTCCTAGATTATTTTACTGAGCAATGCATTTAACGGCCCCTGAATATTTGTCACTTTGCACACCTTGTTCGCGCCACTTCCCCAGCTTGAAAAAGCCCCCATCCCCACCCTCTGCCGCCTAGGGCTGCTCCTCCCATGGAGCCCTCCTCACCTCGCCCCGGCCCGTCCACTCCCACCAGCCAGAAACACTGCGCCCTCCCGGGCTCACACAGCACAGTGCTGGGCCTTAACAGTGGGATCACCTTCTCACGCTAAGCCACCCCTTCTCCATCTTCCCCTCCTGGCAAGTTCTCTGAAAGGCAGAGTCATTGATTTCTGTCATTGTCAGGTTCTTTACAGTGGCAGGTCATAGGAAATGCTGGGCTGAGATAAAATGGCTAACCCTCAAGATATCACCTTAAATCCAACGAAAACCCTTAATCCTCAGATCATAGGCCCAATAAACAACTCTACCATGACTGATGTTAGCAACACTGGAACACGAATCCTTGTCTATTTCTAGAGGAGGAGAAATAAACAGAGGAAAGGCCACTGGCCTGTAAGAAGGCCTCACTCAGCTCCCTGGGGTACACAGCTAAACTAGCAAGGAAAGATACTCTGCGAGAAAAAAGGGGCCATACCTCCTCTCGTTTACAAATACCATGTTGGGTTGAGGAGAGGTGAGGCAGGTCAGCATCCGAGTTACAGTTCGCAGGTGAAGGGGAAAGAGCTGTGCAGGCATCTCCGAGCTGCACCTACGTGGCCTGTTGCCAGCAATACTGCAGGTACAGAAGCTCCACGGAGGCCATGGGGTTCAGGACAGCTCCACTGCCAAGGGGAGAGCTGTGCAGAGGACAGGCAGGCACTCTTACATCTAATCACTTCACAGGCACATCGCTGAGTCTGAGACTCAAATGAATGTCTATTTATAAACTCTGAACTTGCGTTCAGCAAACAGTGAGCTCTAGAAACCCTCCCTCAGTCTTCTGATCCTCAGGTGCTGAAGCCCTGGCCCCTTCCTGAGCCTGGCAAGATGCAGGGAGGGAGGGAAGAGAGGCCTGACCCTGCCCACTCCCAGTCAGCGCACAGGTTCGCACCAGCCGGGGCATCTGAGATCACGGAATACGCTCCCTCCCCATGAAGGCACAGAACCCAGGCTTGAAGAAAGGTAAGGGCCCTCTCAGACAAGAAGCCCCTCCATCAGGGGTCTCTCAGCCCCTACTTCCACACTCCACAACCTCCAGAAGAGGCACAATTGCACCTCACCCACCCTTCCTATGGCAGCTCACCCCGACCTTCATACCCTCTGCGCTCCGGCCGAAGGGACCACTGCTCCCCCCTGAAATCCGGCCTTTGCCCACCTCCATGCCTCCCTCACGCTAGTCCCCTGGGTCAGGGAGCTTCTTCTCACACTGAACGGTCACACCTGCGATCCATCCATCCTTCAGGGCCCAGGCCAAATACGTCCCCCAGCCCCGTCCTCGATCCCTCCTCGGCTCCCGCAGCACGCGCCTGCCCTCTATGTGTGCCCTGCAGCTCCGCTCCCCAGGGCTGCATTTAGTGTGAGCAGCCCTGTCTCTCCCTAGGAGGCAGCGCTCCACATCCTCTCCAGCTCCGGGTTTCCCCTGTACCCAGCAACAGGCCTTGCTGACAGCAAAACATGCAAGGCACCCTGCTCAAGCAGGGACTTGCTCGGCCGTCTTCTACAATGTAGGGCCGGCCTCGGGTCCCCAGGCCTCTCAATGGACATGTGCCTTTGAAGTATGTTCTCGGTCCTTCCTATCCAACTCTTCCAGATCTGTGGCAAGTCACAGACATCTCAGTCAAATGCATTGCTGGATTCCAGTTTCCACTCTGACCCAAGGCACAGAGGTCCCCAGAAAGAATAAGAGCACATCTGTGGGAAAAGTATGCAGTGAAAGAGACACTGTGGTTGACAATGGCAATTAATTTCAGTGACTGACTGAGTTCTCAGGCCTTGCCTCCTGCAGAAAGTGCTCTAGGGTGCTTAGTGTCACAGTGTGGGGTGTCGGTGGTTGGGCTGCAAAGCAGCTGTCACTGACTCACATGCCCCTTAACACCTGCCTAGAACGGTGAGTTGGTTTCCTCCTAGTCCCTGATGGGCTAAGCATATGGCTTCATATGAATAGCACATGTAGGAGCCATGTCAGGTGGCCTAAGAATAGGAGTCAAGAGGAACCCTGCACTTCAAATTCTTGTCCAATAACACTGTTCACTTTGAGGTGAGGGAAACCACAGCTTCCTCTCCTGTGGTGCAAGAATACACGTCTCATCACCCCTGTGCCCACTCAGAAATGCGCTTACTGAATTTCCCAGGCCAACGGTGGGTCCGTCGGATCCTCCTTGGCCCACCTTACCAAATACAACTCTAACCCCCAAACCTCAGGCAGAAATCCAGAGTCAGCGCCAATGCGCCTGCTCTCTCCGTGATGTGTGCAGGCAGAAGGGACCAGATGGCTGGGAGGAGGCCGTCCCACTCGCAGCCTGGGTCAAAGTCAAGGAAGGCCTGCTGCCAGGCGTCTGAACCGCACACTGGGTCTGTCTAGCCAGGGGCAGGAAAGGCGCTACATACTATTTCGTTTGCCTTCCTCTCCTCCTTCTTCCTCGTTCTCGGGATCGATGTCCTCAGCTTGGGTGATCCAATCCAAGTAGCCCTTTAGATCCTCCTCCAGCTGCTGCTTCTCCCGGAGCTTCTGGAAATCTCCCCGTGCTTTTGCCTTCTCTCTTTCCTTTGAGAATTCTCTGAAGGAGGCAAAGAGGACAAGCACATATCAGGACATCCTTGGGGACCTGCATCCTGAGCCACTGCCCTGCTGCACAACAGTCTTGTGGCAGGACACACAGCACTGAGTACAGTCACATGAGCACAGCTATGGAGCCACACACTTGGACAGGACAGAAGACAGTGTCTTCTCAAGCAAGACCGTGGGGGTCAGCGTCGCAGAGCCCACACCAACACACATGCATCATTTCTTAGAAAATGAACTCCCCTCAGATGACAGCGATCCCAAGGGGCCTGGGCCCAAAACACCATGTGCTGTCATAGTGGGCCTCTGACACCCCCCAACGAGGGGCCTGAACTCAGAGATGCCCCACCTTCCCCAGAGCCTCCTCAAAGAGGAGGGAGCCAAGTAGGCCAAGCTGTGGTCAAAGAGTACCACGTTTAGGGCTTCTTCAATGCTTTTGGACAAACTTTGCATTAATATTGTGTGCTACCCCTTTTGTCCAAACCAAGAGCTCTGAGCGGGCAGCAGTCCTTGCTGGTGCCCACACTAGGCTCCTCTACCCATCACCTGCAGGTTTGGGCCAGAGCAGTGGATGGAGTCAGGGCAGTCCCCCACCTCCGCCCCACAACCCAGTTCTCCCTTCCCAGATGGGAACTTGAGCACTGATGAAGCATTACTGTTTTTCTTCACCCTTGCTACTTGTCATAGTCTTCCCCAAAAGTCTTCCCTGCAGGAGGAGAAGAGGCATATGATTTGCTGCCCATTTATAGGAACACCTGCCCTGGAAAGGCTCTGGCAGACAGGTAAATGTTCCCAACTGTGGGGTGTTGACGCTACTTTCCACCATGTGTGCAAGCCTCTATCTATGCATATATACAAAACCCCACACTCACTCAGGCAAGCCTGAGAGTCAGGCAGACGATTACCCAATTTTTATATGCGAGGAACCATCTGCATCTCCAACCGTGAGTTGTTACAGGAGCCAAGATATGTGAGTTAGAGATTTAGTAAGTACACTTAAAAGCTGCTAAGGAAGCAGGTGAGGTTACAGCAATGCAGTTTCTGCACACAGACCTTGAGATTCCGACACAGGTTACTTCTGTCTGCCTTCTTGCCTTCGTTCCGAGTCAAAGCCAGCGTGTCTTGTTCAGGGTCCTACCTCAATAACCCAACCCAACCTAACCCAACCAACAAACAGGGAAGTGACCTGCTTTCATAAAGCTAACTCCAGCCAGGCGCGGTGGCTCACACCTGTAATCCCAGCACTTTGGGAACCCAAGGTGGGCGGATCATGAGGTCGTGAGTTCAAGACCAGCCTGGCCAACATGGCAAAACCCTGTCTCTATTAAAATATAAAAATTAGCTGGGCATGGTGGTACACGCCTGTAATCCCAGCTACTTGGGAGGCGGAGGCAGAAGAATTGCTTGAACCTGGGAGGCAGAGGTTGCAATGAGCCAAGTTCGTGCCACTGCATTCCAGCCTGGGCAACAGAGCGAGACTCTATCTCCAAAAGACAACAACAACAAACTAACCCCATATTCACACCTCTCCCTTAACTCTAGGCTGTCGAGGGGCTGAACAGATGCTTGCACACCCAGTGACGTCAATACTTCAGATAAGAAACTGGAATCCTCACCAAGTGCCACCCTCTGCCCACAATTAGAAAGAATCCCACTCAGGTGGAGGTTGTGGTGAGCTGAGATTGCGCCATTGTACTCCAGCCTGGGCGAGAGAGAGATAGAGAGAGAGAAAGAAAGAGAGAGAGAGAGAAAGAAAGAAAGAGAGAAAGAAAGAAAGAGAGAGAGAGAAAGAAAGAAAAAGAAAAAAATAGGATCCCTCTCATTGATCCTAAATCACCCCACTTTTCAGACTCCCTGGAACCTATCCTTGGTCCTGTTAGGGCTGTCTGTCTCCACTCTATCCCCTGTGAATAAGGAAGGAGGCCAGGCTTTGTGGATCTAGAGGAGAGCAGGAGCCGATCTGAGCCCAGACATGTGCTCTGACCTCCCAGCCCAAAGAACACCTGTTGTCTCAAAGAAGTAAGGACTCAGTGTCTCACTGTTCACACATACCACAGCCTGAGAACTGTCTGGGGTTTCTAGGCCTCCAGGGATTCCCAACACATGGGAAATGCGTAACTCAGCTCTAGGTAAATTCACCAAATGACTCTCTGAACTCTGAAAAAGTCACACTCAATCCAGAATCACATCCCTGAGCATCAATAAGAGGGCTTGGAATGTCACGTGTCTTCAGGAAAATGAATTATATAAACTGTTTTCTTAAATACACCTCAAAGAAAAGTGGACCTTTGGTTTTATTATTCACCAAAAAAGTATCCTAGTACAAATCTGTTTGCATGTTTTGATTCTGAACTTAGCATACTAAATTCAGATGGTTACATACAAACAAGGTATTCTTACTTTGGGTCCATATCATATATGGGTTCTTGGGAAAAAATTATGAAGATAGTAAAAGAGTTACCCTGAGAAGCTTAAGGACATTCATCTTATAATGCATATAATTACATACATTATATACATTTTATAATGTATAATTATATAATTATATACATTTTATAATGTATAATTGTATACATTTTATAATGTATAATGTCCTTAAGCTTCTCAGGGTAACTCTTTTACTATCTTCGTAATTTTTTGTAATATTTTATGCATTTTTAACATTACAAATATAAAAATCCCATATCTAACAAGTTGCATCATTGTGGCACATTTTCAGCTGCTGGGACACGGTTAAGCAGGCATAAGTAAAACTCTACTCTGACTAAAATTCCTAAGAGTAAAAAACCCTGCCAAGTCCTGGTTTATGGCCCACTCACAATGATGGTCACTGTCACAAGAGCTCATATAACAAAGCTGCTGATATAGACCCTCTGAACTGATTTCAGACAGTTCTGAATGGCTGAATACTTAGCAGGAAGGTGATAATTATTGATGTGGACAGAGGTGAGGTTTATGCAGCAGAAATCTGTTGGCCACAGGGCAGTTTGGAGGAAGGGGGCAGGGAGGTGGAGTCCCTGTGATAAACACAGATAAAGCCTTGGCCCTCCTACACCACTCCAGGCTCTTCGTCTGAAGATCTGGCTTCTAGTCCTAGCTCTGTCACTGTTGTGTTCTGAGCTTCAGTTTCCTCCCTTCCAAACAGACACAACAATACCCGTTCTGCTGTTTCACAGGAATTAAGCAAGACATTCAGTAAGATGAGGCTTTGAAAACACAAAGAGCGGTATCAACGTGAAGTTCAAATGTATAATAGTTGTTGAATCCAGACATAAGAGAGAAATTTAAAAGGCAAATGGAAGAGCTTTCTCAAATATCAAAGGGAGAAAAATTAGCACTAGCTGTGAATGGGCTCTAAGCTGCCACAAACCCGTCAGGATTGGGAAACACACAGAAGGACACATGGGTCCCAAGGCTCAGAGTGACCACAACGAGCCGGCAAACCCACTGCCAATCCTGTACACTATCTGCTCAGCTGAGGATAACCCATTCCCATCACAACCGACCCTCTGATCCTGAAAATCACACCTCAAGTCTGAGGCACCTTCTATGAAACTTCGCAATGATCGAAAAAAGTCACTCCACTTTACAAAAGAATTCTTCATATTCTAAGAACCCTATCACTAACAGATTGTTTTACAAAGCTTATTTAATAAAGCTATTGGTAGAAACCAACAGACTTTTGCAAGTAACTAAAAATCCGACAACTGTTATATGCTAGGAGCCTTCTTGTTCCAAATCAGAATTTTGGTTATGGCGTGTCTGATCAAAAGATAAATAAGAAGTGCCTGGACCGAAAAAAAAAAAAAATATATATATATATATACACACATATATATATACACACACACATATATATATACACATATATATACACATATATATATATATATATGGTGTGCTACCCTTTGCATACAAAAAACTGGGAAATCAAATATGCATATTTCTCTTGGATGTATCTAAAAGAGCAGAAAACAAGGGATGGGTATGAATTAGGCCAAAGGAATCAAGGTTGGAGTGACACTCAAGTATATCTCTTTCTATAGTTTTGACTTTGGGAACCATGTTAATGTTCTTCACCTTAAATTTGTTTAAATTAAGTCAATAAGGATGAGATGAAGGGAAAATACCCCTAAACTGAAAGTGAATTGAAATAAACAAATCCGTAATTCAATGAATACCATAACCAGACTGAAGGAGAAAGACAAAACTAATTCAAATAGCTCAGGAATATTTGATGATATGCTCCCAGTCTTCGGCAGGATTGGAGTGAGGGATGAACTGCAAACAAACGCTGAACTCCTTTTAGTAGCTTTGTTTTTTGTAGTGATGTGGATGAGACCATTCTGAAACTATCTTAGACATATTACAGGATTTAGCGAGTGAGTACATGTGCTAATGTTGCTGGGAGCCAGAGTTCTCGCTGTGGAAGGAGGGACACAGAAACATGGAACAGAGAAGAACCCTCTGGGGACAGACTGGAATTGAAGGTATAGGTGTGAACTGATGATTTCTAAAAGTTGTTTATTTTAAAGTCTGATTTCCAATGTCTGATTTTTAAGAGGTTGATATGTGAGTATATGTATCAATGTAAGTATGTGTACGAATATGTGTAAACAAATGCATATACTTCCTAGTTCTCTCTGTTGAAAGGATTTAGAAGCAAAGATGCTCTGGCAGGTACTAGCACACCTGGCACCCACATCTTGGTCTTTAATAACATTCCCTATTAAAAGGAACCAGGGGACTTTGGAGAAGTGGGTGATTCCAGAGCAAGGGTAGGGTAGGTACAAGATGAAGAAAATCAGGAAGTGCTCAAAAACAAAAACAAACCAAAACACATTATGGAGATATATCTTAAGGATACAGGAGCTAGAGAAGTAGCTCCTACTAGCCAAATCTTAGGAAATCTGAGCACTGAAATAACTAAGGACAGTAATAAATCATAACATATTTTTAAAAATCAGTCCACATCCCTTATGGATAGACAACAAA